CCAAGCACGGAAGTTTAAGGATAACTTACGGTCGGTGGCTACCTAAGGAAACTCCGATTCGATCCGCCCCCCGGCTGGGAGGCATCTACCTCATCCCGATCACAAGGAGAGGTTCACTATGATGGGGGTACTTTTTTTCCCTTCCGGAAAGAATGAAATGCATAGGGGACCATCCTTTTCTTGCGGCATGCTCCTCAGATTTACGGATTCGCAGGGGGACTCAGGCCCTACTTAGTTGACTGACAATGACAAAGGCTTGCGAAACTAAGTAGCGCCTTTCCTTTTTTTGAATAACCCATTTTTCATAAGTCAAGTAGGCAAACCTATAGGTCCTTAGTAGCGTTGACAAAGAAGAAAAGAGCATTAGTCAAGAGGGAAAAGACAGCGAATCTTTTTTTTTCGTACTTTCTATTATTTAGATAGAAATCAAATAATAATAATAGAAAGATCTCTTTTTTATGACTTCTACTTATCGATCCCGGCCCAGAAAAGTGACCGACCAGGGCCCTATTGATGAATGAAAGAAAGGGCAATTCACATAGCGCCCTAGCCCTGTAAGCCCACACCTGTGTAGAGTAGATCGTTCAACACCTGCGGCACAAACCTATTTTGGACCTATTGGTCCTAGTATCATAGGCGACCGAACGGCCGCCCCCTAATTACTAGACCGACCTGCTATAATAATTCCATAAACACCTAGCGAAGATATGGCAAACAAATAAAGTAGCCCTATGTTCGGATCTGACAATACCATACCATAATCAAAAGGTACAACGGCCCGAGCGACCAGACTTAACATAAATGTAGCCACTGGAGCCATTCTAAAAAGGGAGAAATTAGCACTACTTGGTGAAATAGGTTCTTTTAGAATCAATTTCAAACCATCTGCTAGAGGTTGTAACAATCCAAACGATCCCACTACATCAGGACCCTTTCGACGTTGCACAAAAGCCATTACTTTACGTTCAGCTAGCACTAAAAAGGCTACTCCTAGTAGAAGTGGTAGAATTATTCCAAGTATTTCAGCTGGAAGAGCTATGTACATTGTCGATTTTCTATTCACTCATGATCTGGACTGGTCGACCCAATCATGATATTGAAGGATGGGACCTTTTCTCAAAAAACTCCGGATCCCGATAAGAGTTGAAAATGGTGCAACATCGAATCCTCTTACTTCGAATGGAATCTTAGACTTAGATAGAGTCATAAGGTGAATAAGAAAGACAAAGTGGGTCTATGATGTAGAAAGGCTATCTGGATCCTTTCTCTAAGTTTAGGGTAACCTTTTTTTTTGTAATTGAGTAAAGGCCGGGGAATCAACCCCCCTATCTTCCAATTGAGTCAAGAGGGATTGAAGATGATTGTAGGATGGTTCCCCACTTAGGGAATTTGTACTATCGAGAGCTCTAGCTCCCCGTCCAGCCCAATCTCCCTGTGGATCCAGTACAGCCATAAGTTCTATAATTCCTACTTTGACTTCTTTTATGCAATTATGAACTCCACGGAACTTTCTCAATTCCAACGCAACTTATCCTTTTTCCGCTGACGTAACAAACTACGCGAGCCTCCCAACGAAGCCAACATAAACCCGATCCGAATAAAAAAAAGAAAAGGCAGTTTCATTATGGTGGTATACCAGCCGCTTGTTCTGGAACTTCCAGTTCCAATCAAAGCATATAGATCCGTAAATAGATTAGTATGTATAGCCACTTCAGTCGTGCTCGTCCTTTCTCGAAAGTATCTTTTTTCTGGAAACATGGTCAACCATAAATTATTATGTTCGCCATTCTTCATCCACCGATGCAGAAAATGCTCAAGTTTTCCATTCTCATATGAGGTCGGAAAGTGGATTGGCAACAGGTCGGCACGAAGTGATTCATCATGCTCAAAGATGAGCCTTAGGGACGGTTTATAGATCATCAAATTCCCACAAATGGAATGAAAAGTGGGTCCATGTAAATGATCGAGACCTCGCAAACAACAACGCTCCTTCCCCATATTACGTTCGGAACCCAAAGGCAATCGTTGAGTGAACTCTATATGCTTTGTGTTAGTTGACCTAAGTCGCACCCTGACTGCTGGGGTGGGGCTCGGCCTCCGAACCGTACGTGGGACGAGTTTCTGCCTCATACAGCTCGGGCCGAAGACCGGGGGAAGTTTAGGAGAGATGGGGAAAGCTAGCAGCCCCTTTATTATTATTAGTGAAAAGAAAGCGGGGCGGGGATAGCTTCCTTCTTCACAAGCTTATCCCCCACAAAAAAACCGACCCTGTTGCGCTAGCCTTTCGCGTTCTTTCTATTCCATCCCATGTAATTCCGGGGTAGGCTAATAATAAGAATCTAAGAAGTAGTCGTCGTCTGACCAATCGGCTCGGACACCAGACCGCCCGTGCCGGCCCATTCTGTCCCGCCCTAAATGGAATGGCTCTCTTAGTTACGCTGCGCCCCGACCCGAGTCCCCACGTCCGCTTTTCTCCGCCCGAAACCCAAGAAGTTGGCAAAGCCAACACAACATTAGGGCCGTCCCCTTCATTCTACTATGCTGACCCCGGCCCGGGCCGGCTTTTTGGGAAGCCCGTTCCCACCGCGCTCACGGCCCGGCTGGCCTGCCAGCGGTAGTGGGAATTCTCCCGTTCCCTGGTCAAAGACTTGGTTGGATGCGGGATCTACTCCACGAGGAGCGGTACGGACGTAGATGATATCATCACGACCTCTCTTTTCGTACCGCTAGGAATGCTTAACGCCACTTCGCCAACTGGCCTTACCTGCGCCTTCGTGTCTCTCAGTGTGGTCAGCACTGGGTGTTTCCGAGCAACGAAGCTTACACCCATTCGCATTAGTTCATCCAAAGTTCCTTACCCTTATGCACGAATTATTGAATAAGCCATCTTCCTATCAAGGTTAAGGAGTCAACTGAGCATCTCAGCGGCGGGATTGAATACCCTCCTCGAATCAGAGTTCACGCCGCCCGCCCTGAACAAATAGGAGGCGTGGGCCACAGGTCGCACATAAGCCGCCGGGTCGCACGACAGAAAAACACCCAACATAAAGATGCACACTCCTCCATGTGAAATATTCATCTTCATTGGAGCTTTTTGGTAGTCGTCGTGACCAACATAAATCAGCTGTCGGCTTGTTGGTAAGGTGAGAGCTTCAAGCCCGATTTCTGGTGGCGCATCCCCCCACAAGCACCCCCCGACAAAGGGGGACGGGGAAAGCTACAGGCCGAAAAGCTTCGACCCTTCTTTCTAAATGGGGGTGCCCGGGGCACCTCATCTTCTCATTTCGTCGTTGCTCATTCCCGTTAGTCCGAAGTTCCTGGCCTTTCCTTCTCCGCGCCCGCTCACGCTTCGCTGACCTATCGCGTGGTACAAAGAAGAAAGTACGAAAGAATAGTAAACGGAGCACACCGCAGAAAGATTCTAAATATGGTAAGTCCCCCTTGGATTCGAGAAGAAGGAAATGAAGAACGGGAACGAAACGAAATAGGGCCTTTCTAGCTCTAGTTTCGGATGAGCTTCTCCCAATTATGTCTGGTAATAGAATAGGACGGCTTGCTCTGACCAAGACTCTACTTTTTGCTCCGTCTGTGGAGCGTATGAATTTCCTTGAATGTAGATAGACCAAAAGAGGGAATTCAGGGATAGGAATAGGAATTAGAGTACCATTGGAAAAAGGGGCACCTGTGGGAACATCTCTACTGACGAACCATTTCAATAGTACGGGTGCTGCCGTGCCACGAGGCACGACCATGGAAGTAATTAAAAAGAAAAAGTGTTGTAGTTGGACCATCTGTTCTATCCGTTAGAGTTTTGCTTCTCTAGAGAAGATGAGAGGCTCAAAATGAAAGTGTTCACAACACATACCGAAAGGATACGAATTAAGCCGACCATTAATGACTAGTTCGAACACCAGGAATGGTCTGATCCCTTATCAGAAATCTCTCTCCCAGCAATTGGAGAAATTTTCAGATGCTCTGCCCACTTTAGCCTCAATGACTAAGATAGACTGTGGGGTTGACTTGCAACCGCTGCAAATTGAAGCAAGAGATAGCCCAGCTTATTGCAACAATATAGAAGAGGAGCCTGAAGTCACAGTAAGAAAGATTCTATTGGCAGGACTCCGGTGGCCTACCATTACGACAAATGTGAAGGATTTTTGTCGGGCGTGCGCTGCCTCTGGGCGCTAATGGATCGAACTTGAACTCTTTATGGTATCCGGTTCAATACCAGTTGGATTGCTCAGTTGTATTCCTTTTTCCTTGCTGGTTCCTGCTAATTCCTTGCAGCAGCTCTAAAGTTCATTTTAGATTCCCATTGATTCCCTTCCTGAGTTCGATACGGGACGTATGATTCTATTTGCCAGAGAAGCTGGGCGTGTATAGTTATGATTCTTTCCTTCTTATTGCTTTCCTCGTCCGAACTCAACACTCAAAGAAGGAAGAACGATAACGAATAACTCAACTCGGGTTTAAATACTCCTTCCTCATAGGTATCATCGACCGACCGGGAACTCATGTTCTCATGGTTAGATACCGGTAAGTTTGAATTTTTCCACTTATGCTTCTAAGGTAGAGTTTCCATACCAAAGTGGTGATGTAGGCGGATTCCTTCGAAAGTATCCCTCCCTACGCTCCTACGCTCCTTCTTTCTCGATCTTTTCACTAGCTTCCGACCTCATAGATGGGAGTTTGAACTTCGGAATAAACTGAAACCGCTTGTTCTTTGATTTGCCGAGTCTTTGTTAAGCTTTAATCAAAGAATACCATACCTCGTTCTGTAGATGAGATTCAAGTTTGAAGAAATACCGGTAAATTGATCGAATTACAGCTCTTCCTCCACTCAACGCGTATTTGACTTTGTTTCAACTCTTCCCGGTAGTGAAGGAGTTAAAGGTGTACATTCCGACCAAAGCTGCTTAGGTCATACTTTCTTGCCTTCCCCTTTACTCCCTTTAAAGCTCTTGACTCTGCTTTTTCTCTCATCCCTTGAAGTCTATGTTTCAACTAGACCATCTACAAGACCCGAGGTAGATTCAGGGTAAGTGTCTGAGGAAGTCTTTGTCTTTTCAGTCGGAGTAGTTGCATTTCCAGCTGCTTGATCGTTCTTAGCTCTGAGTTTTCTTTGGCTCGTCCCTTTGGCTTGTGGGAATGGTCAGCTATCTCTGTCTCTGGTTCGAAGAAGGTCTTCTATCCCGCGTCTTCAGAAGTGGATGTGTTGTTTTCTTTCCTCGTTCTTGTTTTTGCTCTTCCCTTTGAAAGCCCTCTACGGCTGATCGCTTTCTTTCTTCAGTTTCGTAGAATCTGTAGTTTCCTATTGGATAGGTTTTTTCCCTCAGATTACCTCCAAGTTCTTGGCCTCGGAAGGCCTTATGCTTTGCTTTCCCATTCTAGAATTCTCTATTAATATGTTGCTTGCCCATCGTTGTCTTTACGAGCCTTTTCAAATTGAAAATCGACGTCTAAAGATTCAACTCACTCTACCTAACCAAATCCTAAGCCCAAGCGCAGACCTTCGCTATCGAAGGGGCCACTTCATCCCTTCCGAAAGAATGAAATGCAGTAGGACCATCCTTTTCTTGCGGCATGCTCCTCAGATTTACGGATTCGCAGGGGACTCAGGCCCTACTTCCTCGATGACATTTGCGCGAAACTAAGTAGCGCCCTTTCCTTTTTTTGAATAACCCATTTTTCATAAGTCAAGTAGGCAAACCTATAGGTCCTTAGTATAGACTAGAAGAAAAGAGCATTAGTCAAGAGGGAAAAGACAGCGAATCTTTTTTTTTCGTACTTTCTATTATTTAGATAGAAATCAAATAATAATAATAGAAAGATCTCTTTTTTATGACTTCTACTTATCGATCCCGGCCCAGAAAAGTGACCGACCAGGGCCCTATTGATGAATGAAAGAAAGGGCAATTCACATAGCGCCCTAGCCCTGTAAGCCCACACCTGTGTAGAAAAGATCGTTCAACACCTGCGGCACAAACCTATTTTGGACCTAGGTCCTAGTTCGCAGAGCCCTATTTCAAGGCTACCGCAAAGGACTGGGACCAGCTATCTGGGCTATTTAAAAGGGAAAGTCCCTTGCAAATAAAGTAGCCCATGTTCGGATCTGACAATACCATACCATAGTAAGGTACAACGGCCCAGACCAGACTTCTAAATGTAGCCACTGGAGCCATTCTAAAAAGGGAGAAATTAGCACTACTTGGTGAAATAGGTTCTAGAATAATTTCAAACCATCTGCTAGAGGTTGTAACAATCCACGATCCCACTACATCAGGACCCTCGACGTTGCACAAAACATTACTTTCGTTCAGCTAGCACTAAAAAGGCTACTTCTTAGAAGGGTAGAATTATTCCAAGTTCAGCTGGAAGAGCTATGTACATTGTCGATTTCATTCCTATTCACTCATCATCTGGACTGGTCGACCCAATCATGATATTGAAGGATGGGACCTTTTCTCAAAAAACTCCGGATCCCGATAAGAGTTGAAAATGGTGCAACATCGAATCCTCTTACTTCGAATGGAATCTTAGACTTAGATAGAGTCATAAGGTGAATAAGAAAGACAAAGTGGGTCTATGATGTAGAAAGGCTATCTGGATCCTTTCTCTAAGTTTAGGGTAACCTTTTTTTTTGTAATTGAGTAAAGGCCGGGAAACCTACCCCCTATCTTCCAATTGAGTCAAGAGGGATTGAAGATGATTGTAGGATGGTTCCCCACTTAGGGAATTTGTACTATCGAGAGCTCTAGCTCCCCGTCCAGCCCAATCTCCCTGTGGATCCAGTACAGCCATAAGTTCTATAATTCCTACTTTGACTTCTTTTATGCAATTATGAACTCCACGGAACTTTCTCAATTCCAACGCAACTTATCCTTTTTCCGCTGACGTAACAAACTACGCGAGCCTCCCAACGAAGCAACATAAACCGATAAAAAAATCCGAAAAAGGCAGTTTCATTATGGCAGGTATCAGCCGCTTGTTATAACAGCCAGTTTGTTCTGGAGCTTCCAGATCCAATAGAAGTATAGATAAGCCACTTCAGTCGTGCCACCTTTCTCGTGCTTTTCTGGAAACAGTATCATTTATCTATGGTCATCCAATGCAGATTAATCTCCATTTTCATTCCATATGAAATGCTGGATTGGCAACTCATCGGCACGGAAATCATGCTCAAAGATGAGCCTTAGGGACGGTATAGATCATCAAATTCAAATGGAATGAAAAGGGATGTAAATGATCGAGACCTCGCAAACAACAACGCCCTTCCCCATATTACGTTCGGAACCCAAAGGCAATCGTTGAGTGAACTCTATATGCTTTGTGTTAGTTGACCTAAGTCGCACCCTGACTGCTGGGGTGGGGCTCGGCCTCCGAACCGTACGTGGGACGAGTTGACCTCATCGCACTCGGGCCAAGAGCTCCCGAAGTTTAGGAGAGATGGGGAAGGCTAGAGCCCCTTTATTATTATTAGTGAAAAGAAAGCGGGGCGGGGATAGCTTCCTTCTTCACAAGCTTATCCCCCACAAAAAAACCGACCCTGTTGCGCTAGCCTTTCGCGTTCTTTCTATTCCATCCCATGTAATTCCGGGGTAGGCTAATAATAAGAATCTAAGAAGTAGTCGTCGTCTGACCAATCGGCTCGGACACCAGACCGCCCGTGCCGGCCCATTCTGTCCCGCCCTAAATGGAATGGCTCTCTTAGTTACGCTGCGCCCCGACCCGAGTCCCCACGTCCGCTTTTCTCCGCCCGAAACCCAAGAAGTTGGCAAAGCCAACACAACATTAGGGCCGTCCCCTTCATTCTACTATGCTGACCCCGGCCCGGGCCGGCTTTTTGGGAAGCCCGTTCCCACCGCGCTCACGGCCCGGCTGGCCTGCCAGCGGTAGTGGGAATTCTCCCGTTCCCTGGTCAAAGACTTGGTTGGATGCGGGATCTACTCCACGAGGAGCGGTACGGACGTAGATGATATCATCACGACCTCTCTTTTCGTACCGCTAGGAATGCTTAACGCCACTTCGCCAACTGGCCTTACCTGCGCCTTCGTGTCTCTCAGTGTGGTCAGCACTGGGTGTTTCCGAGCAACGAAGCTTACACCCATTCGCATTAGTTCATCCAAAGTTCCTTACCCTTATGCACGAATTATTGAATAAGCCATCTTCCTATCAAGGTTAAGGAGTCAACTGAGCATCTCAGCGGCGGGATTGAATACCCTCCTCGAATCAGAGTTCACGCCGCCCGCCCTGAACAAATAGGAGGCGTGGGCCACAGGTCGCACATAAGCCGCCGGGTCGCACGACAGAAAAACACCCAACATAAAGATGCACACTCCTCCATGTGAAATATTCATCTTCATTGGAGCTTTTTGGTAGTCGTCGTGACCAACATAAATCAGCTGTCGGCTTGTTGGTAAGGTGAGAGCTTCAAGCCCGATTTCTGGTGGCGCATCCCCCCCACAAGCACCCCCCGACAAAGGGGGGACGGGGAAAGCTACAGGCCGAAAAGCTTCGACCCTTCTTTCTAAATGGGGGTGCCCGGGGCACCTCATCTTCTCATTTCGTCGTTGCTCATTCCCGTTAGTCCGAAGTTCCTGGCCTTTCCTTCTCCGCGCCCGCTCACGCTTCGCTGACCTATCGCGTGGTACAAAGAAGAAAGTACGAAAGAATAGTAAACGGAGCACACCGCAGAAAGATTCTAAATATGGTAAGTCCCCCTTGGATTCGAGAAGAAGGAAATGAAGAACGGGAACGAAACGAAATAGGGCCTTTCTAGCTCTAGTTTCGGATGAGCTTCTCCCAATTATGTCTGGTAATAGAATAGGACGGCTTGCTCTGACCAAGACTCTACTTTTTGCTCCGTCTGTGGAGCGTATGAATTTCCTTGAATGTAGATAGACCAAAAGAGGGAATTCAGGGATAGGAATAGGAATTAGAGTACCATTGGAAAAAGGGGCACCTGTGGGAACATCTCTACTGACGAACCATTTCAATAGTACGGGTGCTGCCGTGCCACGAGGCACGACCATGGAAGTAATTAAAAAGAAAAAGTGTTGTAGTTGGACCATCTGTTCTATCCGTTAGAGTTTTGCTTCTCTAGAGAAGATGAGAGGCTCAAAATGAAAGTGTTCACAACACATACCGAAAGGATACGAATTAAGCCGACCATTAATGACTAGTTCGAACACCAGGAATGGTCTGATCCCTTATCAGAAATCTCTCTCCCAGCAATTGGAGAAATTTTCAGATGCTCTGCCCACTTTAGCCTCAATGACTAAGATAGACTGTGGGGTTGACTTGCAACCGCTGCAAATTGAAGCAAGAGATAGCCCAGCTTATTGCAACAATATAGAAGAGGAGCCTGAAGTCACAGTAAGAAAGATTCTATTGGCAGGACTCCGGTGGCCTACCATTACGACAAATGTGAAGGATTTTTGTCGGGCGTGCGCTGCCTCTGGGCGCTAATGGATCGAACTTGAACTCTTTATGGTATCCGGTTCAATACCAGTTGGATTGCTCAGTTGTATTCCTTTTTCCTTGCTGGTTCCTGCTAATTCCTTGCAGCAGCTCTAAAGTTCATTTTAGATTCCCATTGATTCCCTTCCTGAGTTCGATACGGGACGTATGATTCTATTTGCCAGAGAAGCTGGGCGTGTATAGTTATGATTCTTTCCTTCTTATTGCTTTCCTCGTCCGAACTCAACACTCAAAGAAGGAAGAACGATAACGAATAACTCAACTCGGGGTTTAAATACTCCTTCCTCATAGGTATCATCGACCGACCGGGAACTCATGTTCTCATGGTTAGATACCGGTAAGTTTGAATTTTTCCACTTATGCTTCTAAGGTAGAGTTTCCATACCAAAGTGGTGATGTAGGCGGATTCCTTCGAAAGTATCCCTCCCTACGCTCCTACGCTCCTTCTTTCTCGATCTTTTCACTAGCTTCCGACCTCATAGATGGGAGTTTGAACTTCGGAATAAACTGAAACCGCTTGTTCTTTGATTTGCCGAGTCTTTGTTAAGCTTTAATCAAAGAATACCATACCTCGTTCTGTAGATGAGATTCAAGTTTGAAGAAATACCGGTAAATTGATCGAATTACAGCTCTTCCTCCACTCAACGCGTATTTGACTTTGTTTCAACTCTTCCCGGTAGTGAAGGAGTTAAAGGTGTACATTCCGACCAAAGCTGCTTAGGTCATACTTTCTTGCCTTCCCCTTTACTCCCTTTAAAGCTCTTGACTCTGCTTTTTCTCTCATCCCTTGAAGTCTATGTTTCAACTAGACCATCTACAAGACCCGAGGTAGATTCAGGGTAAGTGTCTGAGGAAGTCTTTGTCTTTTCAGTCGGAGTAGTTGCATTTCCAGCTGCTTGATCGTTCTTAGCTCTGAGTTTTCTTTGGCTCGTCCCTTTGGCTTGTGGGAATGGTCAGCTATCTCTGTCTCTGGTTCGAAGAAGGTCTTCTATCCCGCGTCTTCAGAAGTGGATGTGTTGTTTTCTTTCCTCGTTCTTGTTTTTGCTCTTCCCTTTGAAAGCCCTCTACGGCTGATCGCTTTCTTTCTTCAGTTTCGTAGAATCTGTAGTTTCCTATTGGATAGGTTTTTTCCCTCAGATTACCTCCAAGTTCTTGGCCTCGGAAGGCCTTATGCTTTGCTTTCCCATTCTAGAATTCTCTATTAATATGTTGCTTGCCCATCGTTGTCTTTACGAGCCTTTTCAAATTGAAAATCGACGTCTAAAGATTCAACTCACTCTACCTAACCAAAGCCTAAGCCCAAGCGCAGACCTAGCGCTATCGAAGCAGCCACTTCATCCCTTGCGTAAACCAGACTAAGTAGTCCATTCCGATGTTCTGCCTCATGCCCACTGCAACTACTCGTAGCAAGTCCTACATCCTCGATGCTTTCCGCGCCGAGGAAGCCCTTGTAGCTAACCGGTTTGCTCAACATAAAGAAAAAAGGCGTGTTGTTTAGTATAGACTAGACCTAGCTGAACCTTTTTTTCTAAAATATTAGGTTGTCTTTGTTCTTTTCGGTCAATCAAACATAGAGTTAGTAAGTCCAACAATCAATCAGAGCTGCCGGGCTCAGCGAATGCAGCCTTCACTCATTCTTGGGCCTTCGGGCCCTTAGGGACGACTCCAGTCAAGCAATACAAAGAATGACATTGACCGGCCAGATATCACGTAGAAAAGACAGATCCGACCCCTCACGGGGAGCCTACTCGAAGGAGTAGTTCGCAGAGCACTATTTCAAGGCTATACGCAAAGGAGCTGGGGGCAGCTATCTGGGCTATTTAAAAGGGAAAGTCTTCTTGCGTGGAAAGGGACAGTGCGGGCTACTATTACTAGTAAGGCTGCAAAGACAGCTATCTTCTCCTTGCTTGCTCCCTGGGGTTGCCCCCAAAAGCACCATTCCCACTAGCTACGAGGAAGAAGAGCTACCTAGTCTCAACCAAAAGAAGTTGTGGACTCAGATATGATGCTCGTACAACTATTTCGATTTCCCTCGGGAAGAGACCCCTTCTTGGCCCGGGTATCCTTTTCCCAGTGGAGCAGGAGTTTCGTTCTTGGCTTCGGATATCATTCCTAGTGCTCTCATCAACTAGGCAGCCAATCAACTCCTAAAGTCCTTTCCTATCCCAGCTGATATTTCCTTTACGCTTTCCGTCCAAATCCCTGAGCTATTGAATGTAGCTCCTTGTTCTTCGTTGTTGGTGTCTTATGTCGGGAAGGGCTAGCTCGAATGCTTTACCGAAGCAATAGGGAATAGGGCGCTAGAGCACGGAAACCTAGAGAATAGCTAGCCGATTCGCCAAAATTCTTGAGATTTGCTTTACAAGCACGTTGCACAATGAGATAGGTCTGAACTCCTCAAAGACCTCCGGGTTATCAACCTTAGGGATCAGCTCAAGGAAAGTGGAGTTGACCCATTTGTTGAGCTCTCTCATGTTGCAATGAAGCCTTACAGATTCAGATGATTTAGAGAAGGGCTTCTGGTTGAAAAAGAAGCGTCAGCAACCTGAAGAGATCGGAAAAGGCTAGTCAGGGCGGATCAGCATGCCTCATATATACATCACATCGACGATCGCCTGCTCTAAAGAAGCTATATCAATTCACAACATTTGTGCCAACCTCTTTTGTTTTCCCAACCACAGGCGCTCTCTCTATGGCCTCATCCAAGGGATTACTCCCCATTTATCTTCCCCAGCAAACGACTCCTTCACTACACATCTACGGGTAGCTTCAATGTGCCCATGGGCTAAGGTGGAATTAACGATTCAAATAGGAGGAAAAGGGAGGGCAAATAAACTCCATTGCAACCCAACTCAGAAAAAGGAAGGAAAAAGCTCCTGGACCACTAATCGACGGTTTATTTGCAACTCATGATAGGGCCGGTCAAAGCATCGAACTCTTACAGGTCAGTTATCAAATCCACTGACGAGCAAGAGCTCATGAAACTAACAAGTAGTTGATAAGGCGAGAGCAAGCATTATTCATAAAGTCAAGGTATCAGTTCTTTCTTGAATCGAAGAGTCAGTTTAAAGGAATCAACTTGAACAGAAGCTACTTTCCTGTCCCATCCTCTTTCTATATGCTTGAAGTTCAAACTAAACTATCAGAGGAAGGATGAACTTTAGAGCAACTGCTTCAACTCAGTTGTAAAGGAAGACAAGAAACTATCAGAGAAGAGCAAGCAAAAAGACGGGAAATTTGGTCAATTCCTTCATTTAGTATTGATTTTCCCGCTTCCCACCGGGAAGTTGATAAAACCCGGCAAAAAAGGAGACTTGATGAAATCAGTAATAGAAGAAGTGCTTTCCGATGACTTTTTTGAAAACCCCCGGAAAATGAAATAAAAGCCAGTCATAGTAATAAAATAGCCTTTTACTCCGGAAAATGCCACCCGCCTTTTGGCTAAAGAATCTCTCATTGAATTCACCAGCTCCGGCTGAATGAAGGGGAGGAAGCAAGTTCTCCTCAAGAATGAACAATTTCATAAAGGAGGGTTGTATCAGAATATTCTACGTCTTCAATCCCTAATCTGGCAAGTCTTTTCCAACGGTGTTTACTTCTTTTCATAGTCAATCAGAGTTTTGCTAATGTAGTACATAGCATACTGATGAATCAACCGTGGGTGGAGATCCTAGAACTAATAAGCAAATCAAGATTATTGGTGTATTCGTGGAAAAGATCGATCCTAGCATTGACCCGGCCGGCTTCTCCTTGATGGAGAGATGGCTTGCTTTATGGGCTTGGGGTATGGAGAGGCGATAGAAGCTGTGAGTTTTCCTGACCCTTTGAGTATAGTTGTTAGGGTTCCAAACCCCCACAGCTCTAAGGTGAGAGTTAGTGCTATATGAAGTGGTTGAATTCAAACACTTCTTGAAGGTGGCAATCTAGCTTACATGTTGCATATTGACTCTGTCAGAGTAGAGTAGTCACTAGGAATCTCCACTGCAGCCGCTCAAGCAATGAGACAGTGAAAAAGAAAGAAATAGAAGGTAGTTAGGAGTCGGAACACCCGGCACATTAGAGGATTGGACTTTGGCTTGTTTTCTTAGTCAGAGAGGGCCCATCTATTTTGACTTTATCGTCGTCAACCGATCACTCTCTTTCTCGTAGCGTCTTTCCAATTCAGGACAGACTGCCTCTCCATTCCCGCTACTAACACTAAGTGAAGTCAGACGAGTTAGTAAAAAAGACCCCGTGGCTCTTAACGCGAGGAGAAAGCAACTAAACCTCCACAGGTCACTCACCGGATTAGAAGGAGACAGCGGATGGAATTGGACTACCAAACTATTAATATTAAAAGGGCATCTGATTGAGTTGGAAGATCCTGTTCCTTCTAGGACTCCCCCTCGTTGATATTCAAGTTCGAGGTGTGTCGTCTTCGGATTCCTATCTTGATCCATAGCTCAGTTCCGTAAAGACCTGGGTAAACCCTTTGTATTCGAGGCGAGGGAAAGACCACCTTCAAGAAAGACACACCCCTAGTTACTTTGTTTAGTTGCACTAACTCATTTATCTTAGATGATGGTGAACCGGATAGGGATCCATTCAAGCAGTGGAATCCAATCCGGTTTGAAAGAAGAACTGCAGCTCGATTTGAGATGAAATCTGGCAATAACTCTAGGGCAAGTTCTGTACCAGATAAGAGAGTTTGGAGTTTCTCTCGGAGGACCAGCGTAAGCATTGGAAGACAGAATGCATTCGAGCGTTCAACGAGGGGTTGGCGCAAGTTGATCCACAAGGCAAGATTGGTCGTATTCCCGAAAAGGACATCGTAGACGCTTTGTGTGGGGGCATCCGGATCGGGTATTCATAATCTGGAGTAAAAGGATTCGAACCTTTGCATGCCGGTACCAAAAACCGATGCCTTACCACTTGGCTATACTCCATAGGCCTGTTTTGGCCGGTAGGAACGTGGATGGGGGGAAGGGAGAAGGAGGGCTCGAAGAAGGAGCCGTGCAAGGACGCGGGGATATAGCGACGGTTCTCCCTTTAGGACCGACGTAAACAAGCTCGCGACTCTAATAGAAAGAAAGGGTAAGCTCTCTATTTGCTTGCAATGCTATGCCTATCAAAGAAAGTAGGCGAAGGCTTCCTTAGCGGCCAACTACTCGTTACGCTGTTCGACTTCACGACTTAATGTTTCATGGGGCTCCCCGTCCACCGAAAGTCGGTAACCTTCGTCACCGTCGCTCTATTCCAAATCCCGCAACCAACCCTTTATTATGATTATGTCTTTCTTTCTTCAGGGCTTGCGGTTCATTACACCAAAAGCTTTCAGTGAACTATTGGAAGCTATCGCGAGAGTACCAAATGCTGACGGTGACGCTAGAATATGAGAATAGAACCCCCGGGAAACGACGTTCCGTTCCCTTTGTAAAGTCAAATAGGCATATAGGCATGTTGATAACTAATTCGAGTTGACATGAAATGGATCACGGAAGAAGACGTATCTGATGAATGAATGATTCAATTCCCTCCCAC